AACGCGATCACCGAACCACTCGGGAATTCAGTCAACTCAATATGACCATCCTGCTGCCCGTGAACAACACACATCTTTGCATGCTCAGGTGTTATGCGCTGACGAATGGAAACTTTGTAATTGGTGAGACCCAAGAGAAAGTCATCGCTCTCTGCAACAGAAATTTGGCAAGATGAAGCGTTCAACAAGCACTCTGTATATTCAGAAACAGACAAAATTTTACCCGGTTTGGACTCTGGATCCACTTGATCCATTCGCATTTCAAATAAGATCTCTTCCAGAACACCTGCAGAGCAGTTTTAGAGAGCTTTCAATTCTAGTGTAATAATTCTTACCTCCTATCGGGATGTGTCTTAGATAAACTCTATCTCTATTTACAGCATTCTTATTGAAGGCTGTGTGCGAAACAACGACCACCGTATCATGGGTTACAGGATTATGTCTTGTAATACCGACAACATCGGGACTCATTTGATCGACAAAAACCTGCAGAGGAAAAGCTCATGTAGTAAAATGCAAAGTAACAGAATCTCCTTGAATTAAACCACCTCAGAGTAGTGTGCTTTCGCTAACAAAAGGTGTAGATCATTCAGAATTCGCCTTGCTTCCACAATGCCTGTACTGAACTTGGTTTCAGTACCCCACTTCGCATAAGGTCGTTTTTCGGTCACAACATGTATCTTGAAATGGAATTTCAAAAGAGGTACACTGCGACACGGGTAAGATGTTTTTTCTGAAAATTTTCTGTGAGGGAATAAGCCCACCTGAACACGATGAGTCGAGTATTCTTCCAAAAATTTTCGAAAAAGGGGAATATTCTAGTGTAAGTTTGCGCCTAATTTCTAGCAAAAATTTTTCAAATGTACTATAAAGAAAAGCGAATGAACAACAGACAAACAGATAAATACCGATAAAGCCTTACAGCATGCCTGATCAGTTCGTCGTATCCTCGCGTGGATCCTACAGCACAAGAGGCCATTGATACCATAGCGGCAGTTGGCAGGAGATCATAGACCGAACGAGTCTGAACTTAGCAGGAAATTTGATCCAG